TGGCTGGCATGTGGTGCTGGGGATTGAACCGCAGTCCCTGTGCTTTGCCAAGCTTGTTTCAAGTAGGTGCTTTAGACCACTGAGCCATCTCTCCAGCCCACGCCCAGTCTCAATTGCGTCTCAGCTAGCCCTGGTGGCATGGCAAAGCACCCTGGGATTGAACCCTGGTCCCTGTGTCTGCCTAAGCAGGCGCTTTAATCTGCTGAGCTATCTGGCCGGCCCTTCTCTGTATTTACTGATATCAGTGAGTTCACATGGATACCGTTAGCTCGCATCCTGCACCACAGGATTCACTTGAACTCCGTTCCTTTCCACATTTGTAATTCCCCCCTCAACTGTGAGAAATCTGGCACCCATTACCCTGAAAATATGTATTTGGATTCAGCCGTGGTAGTACATGCCCATAATCTGAGCCTGGGCTGTAAAGTGAGCTAAAGGCCAGCTTGAGCTGCACAGTGAAACTCTCTAAAAAAATGGGGGGACGGGGGGGGGGCTATTGAGATAACTCAGAGGACAAGTGCAGAGAGGGGCCAGAGTTCAATCCCTGGCACCACATGCCATAGTGGCCCCGTCCCCGGGTGCTGAGGCAGCAAGCGTGTCCAGGCATGGTGGCACATTCCTGTAATCCCAGCACTGGGGAGGCTGAAAACAGGAGGATCACTACGAGTAGAGCCGCTAGTGAGACCCTGCACAAAAAAACCAAAAAACACTTTCCACTGCCACACCCCTAACCTGTAAAGATGCAGGTTGGGAGAGGGAAGCTGGAAATTGATCATATGTGGGAGGGCAGGCTGAGGCCTGAGTGCCTAATGCAGTCAAACTACCTCAGTCTTGAGAAACACAGCCTGTCTGGTCAATTTCAGCTATTAGATCCTAGGCAATCTTGAGTCTGGTGATTCTAACTTTGCAAGAATAAAGGCCCAACTGTTGTTCTGGGGTCCTTGGCCAATCAGGCATGGGCTACCACCTGACCCAACCCTTGCCTACTTTTCCTCATTACTTCCTTCTTACCTTCTTTCTTAATTTTTCCTCCTTCCTGCTACCATGTGAGTCCCCACATGCCCCCTCCCTCCCTCCAGTGTGGACTCCTCTTCCTGGGCTTCCCTACAGCCAGGAAGCTATTCTTAACCCAGCCAGGTCTGTTGGGGGAAGCTGACATCCCAGGACAGCCACCTTGTAGGCAGATCTTCTTTTCACTTCACCCTGAGGTGCACAGCTGAGAGCCCCAGCAGGCTGCTGTCCTTTGTGGATTCTCCCCTGGGACACTGGCCTTTGAAATCCTGTCAAGCTCCCACTTGACAAAAGCCTGGGTCATGCAAGGGCTCTAGGGCTGCCC